AGGTTGACTTTGATACTCGTTGTTCAATTCTACTTGTCAATCGCACTAATATTGGAAATAATTCCATAAATCTTGAAAATAGAAACGGCATATATTACAGATCAACATTCCCGTCAACAGGACATTACGGTGGTCACTGGTTAGGAGACAATACGGCTAGCTGGAATGACTTAAGGACATCCGTCATCGGAGTACAGGAATTCAATCTGTTCGGAATTCCATACGTGGGCTCAGATATATGTGGATTTTTGGGTGATACCAATGAGGAGTTGTGCCTTCGATGGCACCAAGTGGGGGCATTCCATTCGTTCTCTAGGTATTATATCCTTATAATATCTCTTTCGAACTGCTGAGAATTTTGAACATTTGATCTTATGAAATAAAAATATACAGTTCATGATGATCAGCGTAAGCGTAGAATGTTTCTATAATAATGAACAATCGAATATTTGCAATATTCACCAATCGATAACATTCAGGAATCATAACGATCGTGCCAGTAAGCCGCACCATCCAACCGTCTGGAAAAGCGTTGCAAACATGACTCGCCAAGCCCTTTTAATGCGCTACTATTACCTACCTTACCTTTACAGGTTCTCATTTTTGTTCTTCCCAGCTCATCAGATCCGGAAGATAATTTTCATGATGAGTGAAGCGATCAGAGTGAAATTAAATAACTTAGATAGTAGTGATAATAATGATGAGTAATGATAATAATAATGATATGTTCTTCCAAGCTTATCAGATTCAGAATATAATAGGTTTATGCAAAAGACAATCGATGCTTTCAGTGTCTTTGTACGAATTAAAATCATATCCACTGTGAAAACATTTTGCAGCACTCGTTCNAAAAAATAAAAGTTTCAGCCTTCATTTTGAAGCGGCAATTAATGGAGGCACCGTGATACGGCCTGTTTTCTTCGAATTTCCGAATGACACAAACACTCATGATTTAGGATATCAATTCCTATGGGGATCTTCAATAATGTTTATACCAGTCGTTCATCAGGTCAGCTATAATAATTTATGTGGTTTATTTCTTCTCAAGCCCTCCATGCTGCATTTGTAAATATATGAAACAGTGCGTTGACTTAAACGGAATGGTTTCTCTGAAAAACTTATCCACTGCAGTAAAAGCCTCAGTAATAGGCAATCACTCGTGCTTTGCATTTACACACTTCAAAATAGAGAAATTTGACTGATATTAATAACAAATTTGGAGTATCCTTGCGATGTATCGAGTTTTGCGGTTGATTAGAACCACAATATTATGGGATCATTTTGATAATGTTGTTGAATGGCCTTACCAAGATTCATTGTATCATGAATGAACACAATGCGAGCGTTCTAAAGATTGATGTGTGTTGGTCAGTAATGATTGGTAAATATGCAGGGTACAGTGATGGTTAATGGCTACATCCCAGATGGAATTTGGTATTCGATTCGTGATGTGGATTATGGGAATGTGATTGAGAGTGGAATGCAAACCTTGACTGCACCTATCAACGACATGTTCCCTGTTCTTGTCAGAGGTTTGTTCACTCTCTTAACATTACTCAATAATATTCTCGATGACAATTAGAACGATAATAATAGTAATACAAACAATCAACGATGCTTAAAACTCATTGATCATTATGATATTGGAAGGAACGATACTGTAATCGAATAAAATGACAAAAAATAACGTGAATGAATATATTAAATTTTCGGAATCAACACTTATTTCCCTGATTTTGAAACTCTGTTCCTATCGGCTGGTTAACCTTTTCTGCTCCAAACATCCCAATATTCATCTTGTCCACATTGTTTTGGTCCAACTAAATGTCAGTAATTACCTCTCTGTTTTACGTATCACAAATCAACTCGACGTTCAAATATTTTATCAGTAGATAATTGAAACAGTTTTATAGAAATTCACTTGCTATTCATAGTATCGTGCATAACCATTGACTCCAAGTCATTAGCAATTCAAATAACCAACGCATGTCATAAGCCTCAAATTAAAGAATACATTTGAAAACATTCAGGCGGAAGCATAATCATCCGTCAGAAACCTGAAGTAACAACAATGGAATCCAGGAGGAACGACCTCGATTTATTGATTGCACCAGGTTATCGATATAGGAACAAGTTTGATAGATGAATAAATTCAAAAATCCCTCGCAATTGTAAATGATCGGGTCTGCTTCATTCGAGGTGAACAATAAAATTAATTATAGATGAGCATGCAAAAGCCAATGGTTATTTCTATTGGGATGATGGTGAGAGTATTGTTGAAGCATTCAAGAGACATCACTATCTCCACTGGAAGATGAACTTTTCAGTGGTTTCTGATACTGCAGAACTAATAATCGCCTGCGAGTGGGGAACGGTCAGTCAACGAGTTCGATGCAGAGCACTTATTGCTTACATACGATTATAGACATATTTCCATAATTGAACAGAACCTATATTTTTGTATAATAATGCTGATATTTTAATATCTTCCAAATTCACCCAAATGTTTAAATTCAGCGATTCTGCGAGCAACGATTGAATCGTTGATTTCAGGGTCGAAACCTGCACGTTCCTTACCTTACATCAATTGATGTATTCGGAATGAACAAGAACGACGTGCCGAATGAAATGTCGGTCAATGGAAGAACTGTAAAAGTTGAATCAACAATCAAACATAACGCTGTCAACATCAGACTACCTGGAACGGATTTGAGTTTTCGTTCGGTTGAACTCTCATGGAAAATTAAAAGAGCAATGTAGCGTAGATTATCATGCTCCCTTTTCTCATCGTTTCTATTTGCATGAATTTTTATTTGAATTTTATTTTTTTACAAATGAATGTTTATTTGCATCGAACAACCTAAACATTGGGCACAATGGATTCACAACGGAATAGGACTGCAGCGTTCAGATCGATTCAACATTCACTATTGTATACGCATTAAATTTTTGCCACTGCTTTAATAGTTCACTGTGTGAACTTCTCACGTTGAATTTAGACACAAAAGTTATTCAATTGTCGAAATTAACATCGATAACTTCGCCAATTTGATGAAATTTTATCCAATCAAACTTAATCTACAAATGTCTACGGCACTGCTTCAGCCAAATTTTGATCCTTCCTGTTTCAGAAGAGACGATGAAATTGCACTGAAAAAAAGATTTTTCGAAGTCTTTCCTCAACAAAACATTCCAAATCATAAAAACAACAATCGGAAATACTCTCCATTCGAATTTGGTGGACAATCCAAAAAAAAGTATTTTTGTATTTGTTTGACCATCGAGCGATGCTCCGTTCATCAGTAAATATATAATGCTCACCGTATCATCAACTTCCTGAATGAATAATCCCCACTGTCAAAGAGACGTGCACAGAGAAATTAATGAAACAATTGATAATCTTTCTTGATAATCGTTATCCCATGACCGCAATCACTTCAACTGACTGTAACAGTTCTTTTCCGGATAATTTACGAAGTCTCATCGAGGATATTCTTTAAAATCTCGAAAAACTTTCAGTGAATATGACGATGGCACACCGTAAACCGCACATTCGCATGCAGTAAATGCAGTTTCATACTACGATCACTATCAATGTGCATTAATTTTTTATTGGTTGCTTTTTAAATGCATCGTTCTGACTTAATTAAACGTATCACGAAACTATTTAGGGCTCTTCGCATTATTTGTTTAATCCATTGTCGATGTTGCCTGCATGTCAGATCATTATATTTACAGTTATCTCAGTTGAATTAATAAACGTTCATTCGAATTTTTTTATCTTTTGAATTTGAAATGAATTTTATCTCTTTTGGGGTATATCAGTGCCTTTCGATCAGTGGGAACACTTCGTATTTTCGTATGGTTAAATACAGTCGAGT